CGACCTAGTTCGGGAGTGCGCGTGGTTTCCTTTGATCCGTTGTCTCAGGTTCAGTTGCGGTGTTGATCGCATCCATCGTTTCCCTGGCAACTCCGCTATGCCGTTCGTGTTCACTCTGTTCACGGTTTGGCGACAAGTGTCCGGATCAGTACTCCCTTCAGGAGTCTCGTTGTGTGCGATTTTTGGGGCGCCACTTCCATGCGCTAGTTTCCTGGTCAGTGAGTTCTTCCTGGCCTAGCTGGTGTCTGTGTTCCTTCGTGATGGTGCTCCTGGCTACATCCTGGTATCGTTCCCGCGCCATTTTGGCTGCGCTCCAACCTCGGTTGGCTAATTTTGCATTCGCTCGCTCTTGGACCTGGTTCCTGGCAGTTGCAGCCCGCGCCACCTCGCGCAGTCCGGTCAGCTTAGGTGCTGCTCAGGCCGCCGGTTAGTCGGCGCGTTAGGCAATTAGGTTCGCGCGTGGCCCGCCCGACCCTTGACGCTGCTGGCGCGTTCGCCCGCGGCCGCGACGGAAAAAGTATCCCCACCAGCCCGTTCAAAAATCTTGCCCATGAGAGCTTGCGGAAAAACGGGCTAAAGAGACACATGGAGAGTGGGAGCGAGGGGAAGAGGATGATAAAGAGGGATGGGGAGGAGGAGGAGGAGGAGGAGGAGGAGGAGGAGGAGGAGGAGGAGGAGGAGGAGGGGGAGGGAGGAGGAGGAGGAGGAGGAGGAGGAGGAGGAGGAGGAGGAGAGAGGAGGATGAGGAGGAGGAGGAGGTGCAGGAGGGGAAGTTGTTCTGCAGCGACTCTGTGGCCGACCCTGCTCCAGCCAGCGCGCTCCCTACCTCGCGTCCTCACGTGGGTGATGTCTGTGTGTGTGTGTGTGTGTGTGTGTGTGTGTGTGTGTGTGTGTGTGTGTGCTGGTGTCTCTCCCCCTCCTGCGTTTGCCACGTCTCGAGGCCTTCTGGCCCGCCGAGTGCGCAAGCAGAACGTGCGGTGCTTAGCGCGAAGATTCGTGGATGAAAGCGCCCATTGCCCTGTGTGTCAGACGGTGCTTGGTTCGAGGTGGCGGGCGATAGCTCATATAACAAAATATCCCCCTGGCGCTGGCCTCCGTAGGATGCCGTGCAATGATAATTTTTAGGGGTGTCCCAGTGTCCCCCCTTCCCACAAGCCGAAGTGGAGCGACGGGACTCGTTAATGCGAGCAAAATGGAATATAACATCTAGTGATGGGCATGCCCGGCCAGTCGCGAAGAAACCTGCAAAGAAACAAGCTTTGGAGTAATGTATTGGTTAGTGGTATACAAGTTCGAAGTTGGCACTTCTCTGGGAACCTCGGAGTCGTAGTAGTAGTAGTAATAGTAGTAGTAGTAGTAGTAGTAGTAGTAGTAGTAGTAGTAGTAGTAGTAGTAGTAGTAGTAGTAGTCGTAGTAGTA